TATATATATATATATATACTGTATATGTGTGTTTGTAGTTTTGTGTGCACACCCTGATGCAATAGGCTGCGCACGCCTATGTGTTTGTATATGTACCTGTCTAATAAATCAATCAATTCAGTTCCAGCAGAGCTTACAGTCTAATGTTCCAAATAATCACATTCACATATAAACACATGCTCAGACCAATACAAGGCTTGAAGTGTAACTAAACCCTACCTTAAACATTAGGCAAAGTTCCTAGAAGACAGTAGAAATGAGACATGCCCATGCCCATCCACCTCACTCCTCCTGGACACTTCGACTTTATCTACCATTTTTAGAAGCTTGGTCTTCCATGTATTAAATACAGAGATTAATCACCAAAGAGAGCTCTTTGTTTGCTCACTTGGTTTCCCTCCTTTACAACATTGGAAATATCAGTCACATAGGGAAATAAACTGTTCACTACGAGTCAGCCAACTCATAGACTTGCGGTGTGAGAAGGAACAATGAAGCACAATCGTTGTGTAGCGTGCAAAGTAGGAAGCAGAGTCCACATAAGCAATAACCAAATTTGGCTGCCCCCATGTACATATATGATGGAAAACTATACATAAAAACTAGGTCTCTAAAGTACACTTATATGATTCTTTTCATAGCTGATGTATTTTATATCTATTCATAAAAACATTGAAACAACATTGAATTCTCTTTAAGCGTGACTGTCAAAAAGGGGAATAGAATAATAACACATCCACATTTGTTTTGTGCAAATATATTGAAAACATACGGAATGTAAGGAACAGAGTAATGCCTAACCACAAATTCCTTATTATTTAAGGTGGCTGTTCAAAGGTATCAATCGGGAAAAAGCAGAAGAGTTGCTGTTGATGAGCAGCAACCGAACTGGTTCCTTCTTGATTCGTGAAAGTGAAACTAGAAGAGGTAAATCCTAAATAAATATAACACTTTGTTCTTCCTCTTAAACATTTTTTAACATGCCAAATATAATCATATTTAACATAGATCTCATAAATGCCTATTTCTGTACATGGTGATAATTACTTGGTGTTTATTATAAATTGTTCTGCATGTAGTTCACAAAACTGGGTACAGTAATGGGTGCGGGGCAATCCCTCACCTTGGGCACATTTATTAGTATTTTGTTATGACAGAGGAAACTCCAAACACCATAAAGCCCACATAAGTTAATTCTGGTGTTTTCAAAAATATATCAATATTTTCATGCTTATACAGCAGCTCACAACAATTTTGGGGTCTTTGAGGTACCCAGAGATCCTATGGTGTCATATACATTTGAATGTATTTTTAATGAATTTTTTTGCAGAAAGTGTACTTAGCCATAAATATGAAAACCAATGCAGCCACCACATCTAAGGACTGGAACACTGCAATATGTTTCATTTTTGTTCATGGCTTTACATATACTATAAGGACAACCCAAAGGGTCTACATACTGTATATATATTACTCTGTAGCACCCTGGTAGTTCTCATGAAAATGCAAAGTATCGCCACCGGTATCTGAACATCCCTATAACAAAATACTTACTATGCCTCACTTAACACGTTTCTAAACCAGAAAAAAAACAAAAATTTAATAGATTGCAGCTTACTAGTCCTCAAGATCAAATTAGAGAATTTTATTGATGGGGTTTACATATACTTCTTTAAGTGTCTATTTTTGAAAAGTGAGCAGCTTCTTGGTGCGGTGCTAACAAGTTTTGCTTCTACAGCTGCACGCTCCTAGTCAGCTGCACTTTTTCTGCTCTGTTATAAAAAGAAAAGTACGTTCTTTAAAATGTGTTAACTTTTAATAGAATGAGTTGAAGCTTGAGACCCCTCACACCCACACAGTGGTATAGAATGTCAGACCAAGGTTTTAAGGAAGAGTTTCATGAACCAATGTGTCTTAGTTGAAGAGAGTGATAACTGTGTAGTGTTTGTTTTGTTTAAAAAAAAAACCCAAATAAATAAATAAACGAAA